AGATAGGGATAGATAGGGATAGATAGGGATAGATAGGGATAGATAGGAAGAGATAGGGATAGATTGGAATAGATAGGGATAGATTGGGATAGATTGGAATAGATGGGAATAGATGGGAATAGATTGGAATAGATACGAATAGATAAGATTTGATAAGAATAGATATATAAGATTAGATAAGATTAGATAAGATTAGATTAGATCAGATTATATAGATAAGATTAGATCAGATTATATAGATAAGATTAGATCAGATTATATAGATAAGATTAGATCAGATTATATAGATAAGAATAGATAAGATAAAATTAGATTGGATTAGATTAGATAGATAGATTAATTATAGATAGATATCAACGATATACAATAATAAACTCAATAAGAACGTGAGCCTTATAAACATCACAAGCTCTGGCTTGTGGTGACAACCCAACTTAACTGAGAATGCAGCCTGGTCGGGCTTGTCCGGTTGCGCCTTAGTCATCATAAAATCCTCTACCAACAAGCGACATCAAGTGACAACTCATGATGCAAAAAAAACAATCTACAGTAACTCCTTTTCAGGCACGAAACTTGGGGCAACAGAGTAACATCTCCTCATTGGCCAAAACGTGCATGTCTAAACAGTCTTGCAATTGGCTCTGCTTCCCCACCCTGCTTGACAGCACTACCACAAGGGCTTAGCATGACTAGAGTGACTAGGGCATAGCTTGCCATCTGCTGATGGCAAGCAGAATGAAAGTGATCAGGTCGACGAAGCAACTCCATGGACCCAAATCAAATTCGGAGTGACTCACCCCCTCATCAAAACAAATGTTAAAAAATGTCCAGCCTGCAAAGTGTCAATTGCAAAGGTAGGAAACGTCAAACTCCGCTCTTTTCAGCCGTGTCTGCAGAGAGCCGTGTCTGGCTAGGGCGGCTATAGGCTGCCTCTCTCCACTCCTCGGCCCAAACGGAACAGCAGGCACGGCCCCCCATCTGCTCGGTCGAGCTGCTCGGTCAAACCACCATCTTGCCCGCGTTTGACCAGTGAAAAACCTTTGTTAAGCTCGAGGAAGCCCATTTTTCTTCCAATCGCTCAGGGTTGCAGTCCCGCTTTGGGGTTCTTCGAATGCGTCGGGGTCCTGTGCCCATCAGCTTGATGTACAACACTAGCTTGGGAAAGTGCTTTGTGCCCCATAAATATATATATATATATATGTGATTATATGTGAGTGTGTGCTCGTGTGTGTGTGTGTGTGTTATTATATAATATTGCCTCATTTTTGGGGGGGACCTTCACCTGTTCTCAAAACAAACTAGCCATGTCACAAGCGGTGTCTGGGCGGAAAAAACGTCACAGGGATGTGACCTGCGGCGTGCGCGCCGCATCGACCGCCGCCCTTGCGCCCAGGTGTGCTAAAATCGCCCCACGGCAAGCAAACTCATGGTCATCCCAGCGTGCGACCCAGTCGACGAATCTGGGACTGATGCTGCTGTATCCATAGAAGGCTCCAGCCAGCTGCCCTGTGATTGAACCATGACTGTCAGCGTCACCAAGCAAATTCACTGATTTTACAACTGCATCGTCAAAAGTAGTCGTGTGATAGAAGGCCCAAAGGGCCAGAGCCAAGCCATCCAAGGAGTATGAGCCAAAGTAACCAGAAGAAACTGGATAGCCATTGTATGTGCGCCCTCGTGCACGCAAGGTTCCAGCAATATCAAGATCTGGAGACTTCCAATCCCAACATCTCTCAGTGGGATTGATTGGGTGTGACTGAACAAGCCAAATCATTTGGTCATATCCCCAACCTTTTTGCTTCTCCAGGCCGGACACCTTGAGGTATTCCTGGGAGGTTTTCTCTAGAAACTGCTTGGCGTTCATGGAGCTTTCAGGGCCTTTCCGAGTCAAGGCACGCATGATCAGGAAGGCAAGGAATGCACAAGCTTCAGCTGCAATGATTCCCGGGTGCGTGGTGTAAGATGAGAGTCTGGCAAAGTGAAGCAACTCTTCCACAGGAGCAGCATGAAAGAAAATCGCCACGGGCGTGAAACGCATGAGGCTCCCGTTCCCTGCATCTTCTGTGGCAGCTTTGAAGGCAGGCGGTGGCAATTCTCCAGGCAACAAATGGGACAAGTCGTTCAAAGATTTGGCAATGTTCCCACCCAAGCCCACCGACGAGCTTCGGGTGGGGTCCTTGCGAAAGGCGTTGTTGTAGCCTCGATTCCACCAGCACCAGAATCGAACTCTCATGTCACTTCCATCGAAGTCCCGTTTCAAAATCAATGAGTCGGCCATACAAAGGCCCATGGCAGCATCATCAGTCCATTGGCCACGCTTCAGCTGGAAAGCGTTGGATGCATCAATAAATTCGAACTTCCCAAAATCAAAGTGTGGCCCAACAGGCCGATCTTGAACTGGCAAAAACTCAAAGGGATGACCCAAGGAGTCACCCACAGCCATGCCGAGCATGGAACCCATGGCGCGGTTCAGCAGCTCTTCCCTGAGCCCCAAATGCACCAGGTTCTCCTTCAATGGTAGCGGGATCTCTTGGAAGATGGTGTACTTGTTCAAGTCATCAAGCCGCCGATACAAGCTTCCACTCCTTCTGACCTGAACAATTTCCTTATCCTGTTCGGAAGTCACTATGCTAAGCAGCACGTGATTTATCAAAGACTTGAGAGAATCCCCATGACTGGCGAGAGCCCGCTGTGTCTCACTCACCTGCTTTTCACCAGCTTGCTTCGGAGTGCCCATTAAATGTTGAGCAGCACGGGAGAGCAAACTCTCCATCGTTGTGTCACGTTTTGACACCATCGAAACCCATGCGTCAACGACTGTTCACGCAAATGTCTCTACAAACAAAGACTTGTGACTTGATGAGGCTTTTGAGCGGCTGGGCAACTCTCAACATGCCTCGACTCTTTTTAGTTAGAGTAATGTTCCTGTTCCCTAACATTTGTACAGAACAGTATGCGATGGCGAAATTCTAGAGCTTCACGTCTAGGATGTCTACTAAGCTGTTCTGCTTTTGAAGTGGCTGTTCTGCTAGTGCCTCCTGGGTCTCCTGGGTCCACCTTGAGAGAAAAACAGGACAAGCACATCTCAACCCCAACCAGTGGGTTCTGGTCGATTCTCCTTCTTCCACGAAGGCTTTGGGAGGTCTCCCTCTTATATAATGCACACCCCATCTCTCAATGCAAGAAATCATGACGGCTGAAAGGCAGAACTGGCGGCATTTCTCACTCCTTTTCTAAAGCAGTCGGGGCTTGAGGAGCTGCATCTGGTTGAGGCATTACTTGCGTGCTCAGTCAGCCCGCGGAGTTGCATCTGCAAACCGTTGGCATGGCATCTGCAAGCGTCACAGCATCAAGGGGGTTCTGGAATCGGACCATTGGGCTTGCACCATACCTTCACGCACACAACAGCGCACCAGTCCCTGCAGCAATGTGCAATGTTTCAGTCTGCCACTAGTATGCGATGTCGTCCACCACAAGTGAGCGGTAAAGCCTCACCCGAACTCTCGCGTGAAGCACCTCTGCAACCTGCTCCCAGCCTCGCGCAGGACATGTCTGGTGTGCATATATATATATATGTATGTATGTATGTATATATATACCGTTCCTACGAGCTTCTTGTTACTACTAGTAAGGCACTTGTTACTAGTAGCGATGCACTTGTTACTAGTAGCTTCTTGTTCCACCAAATCTGCCCAGTCGACTGACCTAAGCATCACTATCGTCACTCTGGACGGGTAGTGAAAAAAGGAGCAAATGAGACGTGTCAGGGACACAAACAAATTAGGCACCGTGATCACCGATAGCGAAGCACCAGGAGAGCAAGGAATTGCTCGCACCAGCAAAAAGTAGATCGGCAAAATGCCGGAGTTCTTGCTCACTGATGTAGGGTCGTGCCCCAAAAATGGCCCCCCGTGGCAGGGCCCAGCCACAAACATGATGGCCATCGCGTTTATGTATGCCCGGCAGGAGACATTGACCCTCGATTGCAAAAATCGCAGAACACCATTTCTTGACACTCCTGACCAGAGATCCAAAGGTGTCCGTGGTCTCAAACGAGGTGAGAGAAAAATGTCGCGACAAGAGTATATGAGCAATCTCAACATACGCAACAGACATGTCGGAGTCAAGTTTCCAGCGCAACGAGAGCAAGAATTGCCCAAAAATCTCAGCATCCTCTGCAGAGCATATGGTGTTAAGGTTTACCAAAACAGGACAATGCTTCTTAGGCTGCCAGTCAAAGTCAGTGGAAACAGCATGCCAGTCCCATGTTGGGAATCGAGACTTGTGTTCGTCACAGCAATCGGCCTGTTGGTCCTCCTCGATGGTTCGGAAAACCTTCTTGACAATGCCCTCAGACCCAATGATCTGATTCAAGGAAACCAAGGCAGCTTGACGGCGGTGTGCAGCAGCGAAGACCTCTGGCCATAGGTCCACATTGATGATAGCCTGTTGAGAGGCCACGCGTTTAGCCTCCTCGTCAGCTAATCGATTCGCTCTGACCTTCCAGCCGGGGCAGCCGTTAACAAAGATCTCCGCAGGGTCAATGGCAAGAAATGATTTGTGATCGCAGGTGTGTGCGGGCATCCACTCAATCTGAACAGGTTGCTCACATTGTCGTTGCTTAAGCCTCCAAACACGTTGGATCTCTAGCCAGATGGGTCGATGACTCCAATGCTCAGGAATATTGTGACACGCACACATTTTGGCAAACAAGTCAACAACTGTCTGGCAGTCCGTAACAAGATGAAGGCGCGCAGGCGCAATGATGACTATAGCTCTGCAGCGTAAGACGCAAGTGCCACATGCTTAACTGGCCCAGACTGGATCAAGCGTTCATCTCTGTCATAAATGGCGAACGCAGCTGTGGTCAACCAGTACGATTCTTGCAGTAAGACGGAACCGTCGGAAAACCACACCACACCTGGTGCGTTGGGATCAAAGAGCTCCTGTTCATAACTTGGCAGCGTTGAAATCTGGATTCGATGAGTGACAACGCTGTTTGGATGTTCAACTATGCCTAGACCGCAAAAATTTGGCCCCAATTCATGGCTCTGGAGGCAGGTGATGAAGTTGGGCGCTGCTGGGCATTCGCGGACAATGTGAAGCAACGACTCCTTAGTGTCGTGGCAGTAGCGGCAGGCAGAGGACTCAATGAAGCCCGCTGCCGCACGACGATCATTGGTTATCGTGCAACCTACGATTTGTGTGTCAAAATGCGCAACCAAAGTGTTATTGGGGGCACTACACGGTGATGTACCTTTGAAGGCAGTTGAGAGCCCAAAATCCAGAAATCCCGAAGGCTTTTTGACATCTTTCCGTGAATTGTAGTTGACTGAGTCATAGCAAAATTGCCTTCCCAAGGTGTGAAGGAGCCCTTTCAAGTCTTTAGGGGAGATGTCAAGAATCGAAAGCTGCGAGGCTCCTAAACCAATATTCATATTTGGCAACAAGTTACACTTGAACACAGTCAAAGCATCACGAAAGTGTGCAAGAAGTGAGTGTTTCCGGTTAACAGAAACATGGAACAAGTCCTGCAGGCGCTCTAACAAGGAAGGATGTCGATGAATGGCACGCCAAAGATTCCGAACAGTGACATAGGCTCTGGCAACCCGTGGGCGCACATAGCACGGGTTGCACAAAAAGGGAGCATCCGAGCCCTCCAATGGGGTCGCCGCCCCCAAATGGTGTTGGCGATTTCGTTTTCGATCTTTGCACAAGTCAGTTTCGGAATCGAGGAAATGTCAGCAGCAAAAGTACATTGGGGTATGACTTTAGATGCGATCAGCTGGCATTTGACCTTAAGGGGTATTGGGAGAGCTGCGATGTTCTTTGCATCATTGCAAATCTTAACAGCCTTGTGGTCGGGAAATTGGAATGCGCTCCGTTGGGCAGTATAGATCTTAGCCCCTAGTGCATCGAACTCCAGGACAACAGGAATGGATGGGAACAGTTGTTTGGCAGTCTTCCTGGCTTTGGAATTAGTGGCCCAAAGGGAACTCTTGTCCGGGCTTAACTTTTGGCCAATTAGTAAGTTCCACTGTTCAGTAACCTGTAAGGCCGTTCTCAAACAATGGATGCGAGAAAGTCGAACCCAAAGATACGCATCGTCAATGAAGACCCTACATGCAACATGAGGAAGAAGTGCAATAAACTTTGACCAAACCGCCATATGTACATTAATCGCTAGTAGAGACAAGCTGCAGCCCTGTGCAACACCGTTGGCGGCAGTTGTAGCGGTACTAGAGACCCAACCCCTGTAGGACAGGTGCCGTTTCAGAGAAGCGTACATTTTGACGAAAACATTCACAACACCCCGTGGTAGTCCAAAGGCCAAGAAAAGGGCCGCAGCATAGTCCGGAACAATTCTGTCAAAGCATTTAGATTGGTCAAGCTTGATGCCAACAAGTGGATCATCAGAAGCGATCGCTTCATCAACTTCAAGCCGGATTTCCGTGCTGATATCGGACATGTCGCGATGACGAATGCCCCCACACAAAACTTTGGGGAAAACAGTATTCTGCCATTGCTGCAGCTGACGAAATCTTGTTCCAGTATAAGCTAAAAGCATAGGAGAAAGAATCGTGATTAGTCTTTTGTTTAAGGGAGAAGAAGGACCCGGCTTGTTCAAGATGGCCTGTTTTGCGCGGGTTAGGACATCAGGCATAACAGCGTTGCAGTCTTCTTCCAAGGCACAAAAGAAGTCAGCGATCACATTGCAACATGCTCTCGGCAACATCTGCAAATCACAAGTGCGCCACCCATCAAGGCCAGGAGCGGCAAGTGGGTTCCTACGCAGGATGGTTTCCTCAATGTCAGCTCCTGTAAGAGCAGGAAGTTCACAGGGGGGTAGGTTGTGGTCTAGGTATGGCCACACAACATTGAGCATCTGCACAGGATCATGTCTGAGCGTGTTGGCACTAAAGATTGAGTCCCAATCACTAGCGATAGTAGAGATGGCTTCTTGGGGATTAAAGATGATGTTACCATCAAAATCAAGAACTAAATTGGCGGGTTCGTCCAAGCATTTGTTTTTGAGATGATGGAAAATAAACTGTTTGGACCCTTTGGCAGATTCACGGATGCTGGATTTCCAAGCCGAAATGCGGGCATTCTTCTTTTTGAGCTCCCAATTAATGGGCCTCGTTTTTGACCCAGTGGATGTTATGAAAAATGTCAACGAGAGTCACGGCAAACGGGTTGATCCAAAGAAACGGTGATTGGAGGTTCCTAAGGGAATGCCACACTTTCTTGGTGGTGCGCTGGAAAATGATAGCATCCCTGAGGGTATTAGAAGGTCTGAGAAGCCGGGTCTCCAGTTCCCACAATTGACGCAAAGTTTTGAAGAGGCGAGAACCCTTCAATGTAACAGCGGAACCAGAAGGGAGCTGGCCAGGGCAAACCCGCTTTTTCGTGAAAACAGGGAGCAACCCTCGTTTACGGGCACCACACCCCCAAACAGATCCGTTGTCCAAGAGTGTGCGAAGGCAAAAATCGTTCACAAGCTGCCATTTGTCAGGGAAATCAGCCGTTTGGGAGAAAACTTCCGCAAAAGAGTCATCCCAGAGTGCAGCGGCAGCTTGATGTTGCTGTGTATGTACACCCTCAGGTTGTCTAGTCCACTTGGAGTGGTCAAGGGCCGCAAATTTAGCCTGTACCTCCCCGATTTGGTGGATTGGGGCCCAAGCGAAAGAAGCACGGATTGGCCGGTGTTGAATACCATGCAACGCAACAACATCGATGGATTGAAGAGCAGCAAAAGCAACCCTATTCAACAGGATTCCATCGATGGACGAGCACCCCTCTCCTTCTCCAGTGAAGGTGCCATCCAGTGAGAAGGTGATCGGTCGAAAAAGCTGGCCTTCGGCATCAACAGATGCGAGAGGATCTACCCACCCTTCAAAGTGAATGGCATGTGCAACAGTGGGATACGCCAAGGGGTTGGCCTGAAAGTCCCCTGCCACAATGATGGGAATGTTGCCGAATTGCGCAGCAATAAGGAAATTTTTTTCCAGCAAATGGTTGTTGGACTCCATGATTTCAGGGGATGCCGATGCGCCGGTTTTGGCATACACCGAAAAGACCAAAGCACGAACAGTAGTGGTAACCTGGATCCAACACGCATTGACGCGCTTGGACTTGAAGATTTCCGCATAATTATCGGTAAGGTCATCTTTGGGGTCAAAAGCACGGGCAATGGCTTCGGGGGCCAAAATGGCGGTTCCGCCGTGCATAGTTACGCGGCGTCCGTCAGACCTAATAATACCCGACAGGAGTTCCCCACAAAACAAAGAACGGTTGGTTGCTTGCGCCTGCTTCAAGGAAGAACGGAAGTTGTTGCGGCCTATGCGGGTCTCTTGAAGACAATAAACCGTGTCAAAATTGGACTGCCAAAAGGTAGAAGTTTTCAAACTGCCAATGTTGGCAGTAGAGAGGGACCAATGTGGTGAGCAACTCTGCGAGTTTGGTGGATCAGGACCCTCCCCAGGAAAACCTTTCAGGGCATCAAACTCTTTGGGAAAGCCTCCACCAGGAACCC